TTACTCAATGATAGAAAAAGGTTGGGGATCACCGACCTAAAGTAACACACAATAAGTAAAAGCTATCTTCAAACCAGTGAAGGAAACAGTGACCATGAGTTTGTAAACCTATGGTGGAGGGTGGCTGGTGGCTTCAGTGACCTACAAGTCCTCATGCTCCCTGTGAAGTGTGAAGCATCTGCATGCCACTGCTATGACATGTGACAGACTGCAACACCAGTGGAATAAAAAGAATAACAGACCACTGGCATGTTATTTGCTCCATACCGCATAGTTAAGCTCCAGCATGCACTGCAGTTACAGCAGGGTTAGCTAGTTGTGGACAGCAGCTTTCTTTAAACAGGCAGCTTTATCTGATGCACCATCACAATCTGAGGAAGATGAGGGCTAAATGTTGAACACAGTGGGCGATAAATAAGATACTGGCGGACAGTTTGTTTAACTATTAACGTCAGCCTGTATCTTACAATATCTTTACTGATACCGGCGTTTAGTACAGCAGGAGTTAGCATCAGAGTGCAGTGAAAGCAGGAGGACCTACGCACTGAGAGGATGCGCTCTCGAACAATACACCAATCTTCGTTCATTTTTTGGGGCAATTTAAAAAGGCCTTTATCATCGGTAAACCCATTATACAATGCATGATAGTTTGAGAATAAGCAACAGCAGGAAACATTTTTAATTTGGGCTTGAATATGATAATGATAATAATGATAATATACCAACATGGGTTATCTCCATCAACAGGAAGCAGACAATGCGAACCATTTTCAAAAGTTATCATTCGTTGAAATAAAAGCTGCAGTACGGATACAGTATGTACGCCGAACACAAGACACCAAAAAATGTCAAGTCATATGGTTAATTGAAGTCCCATTCTCACACAACGCTGCCACAAGCCGGTATTAATAAAAGCACTGAAATGTTTAATAAGAACATTTGATAATTTAGCATACAACAGTTAAAGTCACGCATACCGGGCTGTGACGACGTTAGACGCTATTAACCGTTAGCGAACTTACCTGTGCTGCCCGGACCGGTTTGATGTCACCAAAATATCACAAATTCGAACCACTTGGTGAAGAGTTAGCGCTTGTTTGGCATGTATACTGTCGGTTGTTTCCGTTAGCTACCCTATACCGCTCCCCGGTGCTGTTCCTCTTACTGTAACTGTGTCTCTGTCGCTTCCCTGTCTGTCTATAGAGGTTGACGTTGGCCTTCGTGCTTCTGAGTCTTTTTACTCTGATGAATTTAAATGTCTCACATTCTGCCTGGCCACGCCACATGGGCTGACAGCTTGGCTTGGCCGCGCAGTCCAATGAGAAAAGAGGCAGGGCTCTCGGATCCAGCCAGTGATGGAGTAATTCGTTGAACGCCCCCGTAGAAAAAAAATTTAATGTTGAGACGGGGTTACTTGAGTTCAAACGGAGGTTCTTCTCGGCCCCCACCGTCGCTCCACCAGACTGCAGGCGACAGGCAGCAGCATCAGACTACTAAATAACACCGAAGGCGTTCATTAGCCTTAAAGATGAAATAAGACAGTGGGAAACGCACGTTCAGGTCGCCACATCTGACGGTAGCTAGCTAACTTGCGAGTGACGCACTTACTCAACGCGTAACAAAGCGTTACAGTGAGCAGCTCTGTTCGCTATTACCTTACATTATTTCTTTTTAATTTGGTTGGTTGACACTTAAAATTGACCGAAGGTGAGTGTGTGTGTGTGTGTTAACCAAGGTACAGTATCTATATAAGCAACTGGGGGTAAGGCGTTAACTGCTCACCAACATACCTCGTAGCTCATACCCTGTACTTACTTCCAGTAAGCAGCTGTCAGTGTTCCTGGAACTTATGGTACTGAACCCATAGCTCACTAAAACCAAAATGTGTGTATTTGTATTCCTTCTCCTTGCTACAGTGTGATGTTTTTTAGCTTCACTATACAGAATGATGACATTAGCTGGGTGGCATGGGGTGGCAG